ATGATGTTGATGAAGATGAAGATGATGATGATGATGATGATGATGATGATGATGTTGATGATGATGATGATGATGATGATGATGATGATGTCGATGATGATGATGATGTTGATGATGATGATGTTGATGTTGATGATGATGATGATGATGTCGATGATGATGATGATGATGATGATGTTGACGATGATGATGATGTTGTTGTTGTTGTTGTTGATGATGATGATGATGATGATGATAATGGTAAACCAGATCCAGCTTGATCTCAAATTAGTGGGCATCTTCAACTAGACTACTACTTTCGGTGGACGGTTTTTGTACGCCACTTTGTGTAGAATTTGCCTAAAATAAAGTGGATCAATTCCTGATTGTTTCAGGCGTGTTGGTTTAAATTGCATTCACCTGGAGCTGTCTACTGCCATGAAACACGGGCAAAATTTGTCCGGATGTAAGAAGTTGACGGTGTTTGGATTTCTTTTGTAGACTGACACCAATTTACCTGACACAACTCGTAGTTATGTTGACATAAAGCTCCGTATCATCAAATCAGATTTATGTTCTTTGGTCGAGGAGAGTCGGATAAAGGAGAGGTTACCGGAAGGTGGCTGAACTTTCGACGCCACTCCTTCGGCCTCTGGACGATATTAACCTCTGATGGATTGTTGAAATCCTGAAAAAGGTTCATTGCTGGTACTGACACCTGTTTGCTTGTCAATCCAAGAGGAGCGTGGGCGGTGGAGCACATGTGATAGTCAAGTGCCCAAATCTGATGACCAGCACCATTCGACATCTTTGCTGAGAAGAGCACTCGTCCGACAATCGATGTCCAGGGACCATTTTGTATGCTACGCTCTATTTACGCTAAACACCATTCGAGAACACCTGAACTAGTTAACCTGAGCCGACTGCATAAATTGAGTTTTAACACAAAAGAAAGCATGAAGTTAACTATATATAACCTTATATACTGCTTTTTTTAAAAAGGCCCACTAAATTAACGAAGCGTCAAGATTGCGAAAACGTTTCGAAGTACATAGGACTGCTAACGTTTCTCAAGACCGAAGTTCCTCTAGCTCTTGGAACACACATTTTATTGAGTTCACGATCCTGCCATGAAAGCAAGATTTTCTACTTCTGTTTTTTCGGATATTTCTTGTTGTAAACTATTCGTGAGACCCGACGTTAACCACCAGCGTATGTTCCCTGAGTAGCTCTGTTGGTTTATCCCGATTTAGTAAAACGTGCAGTTTCAATTATTTCAAAAGACATCAGAAGAAGCATTTCGCTGTCAATTGGCAGATGGAAAGAAATGATTTCAACTTTATCGGACCAAAAGTTGATGACAATTTCCCGCCTTTGGACGAGTGTTACAAAAGAACCGAGTCCGGTTCAATTCATCTTATTAAGCAAACGAAATGAAGCAAGGTCAGAAATGCAGCGATCGTTTGCTCTTTTTTTATTGATTCAAAGTGCTTCATGTTTCAGTAATGAAGGGCTTCGCCAAACCAAGTCGCTAGTATCTGAACGACAAATTCGCCTTACAAAGTCCGTCGTATGAATGACAAATTCGCCTTACAAAGTCCGTCGTATCAGAGGTCTAGTACCGCATTCCTAGTGAGAAAAAATTGGTCTCCGAAACTTCTTCGTTCTCCCAGGTATTGCTCAGGTGGAAGCTGTATATTAATGGCTCCTATTTATAAGCCACCGACAAAACTCTCCCACCACTTACCAGATGGGAGTTCAACTTAGGATGCTCGCTTCCCGATAAGTTAATTCAGCTGAATTTCACGACAGATTTACCTGACGGATTCAGAGTTGATATCTGGTGTGGCATTAATGAGTCCCTGCGTGAATCTCAGATTCAGCTGCGCCTTGATCTCACCCAGAATGTTGTCCTTGAAGTGCTGTTGAATCAGCTTAGCTTGCGTGTCTAGACAACTAACTTGATTGGTTCATTGTTGTGATCCACGTGATCGACCGACACACCGAATGCGCGTGCTATTGATCCGGTGCGTGTTCTGTTCTCGGATTGGTTACCGAGTTCAGTGTGCGATGTCAGAATAACCAATCGCTTCCACTGCGCTTGTCTACTTGTCCGAGCGGTGGAATAGATGTCAGTGGTCTAAAAAAGCGTATATAGCAGGACAAAAGAGGCGCGAATTCGGAAAGCTTACTTTCCAGTAACCGCAGGCTGAGGTCTCGATAATTTCACGGATTAATAAGTCTCCTTGTACATTTTAGAACTACATCTACTGCGATTGGTAGGACACACTTATCCCCCAATCAATAGAGACTAAAGTGAATGTTTTGTTCGTGGCTTTCTTAAACTGACTATGCTGCGCAAAGGATGACTGAAGATTGCCTTCACTTACCGGACGAAAACGTAATTTAAAACTCGCCCGCTGTGCTAGCAAAATACCAAATTAGTTAGCAAAAGAAAGTTTAGGTGAATCGCATACAATTTGGGTTGAAGTATGACGTATGGCTGACGGAAAATCGTTGAAATACACTTAGCTGGTTATGCTTTTCGCAACACCCACCCCGCTCGCTAAATGCACCACATAGACCAAGGCATATTTCCTGTTTTTCGTCCAATGAATAAGATCTTTTTCCACGCTAAACGGTAATCCTCACGGTAGGTAAATCGGCAAGATACCTATACGGACTAAAAAACGGCTAATCTGCGAGCTACAGCAATTAGCATATTGGGCTCACTGAGATTAGCAATAAATGCTGATTAGATGAAATAAAGTGCATTCTATCGAATAAATATGTTTATCACATAATTGCAACCGATTGATTAAGACATTATTGCTCTCAAAACAGCAGAAATGGAATGCTGAAGAAGCCCAATTTTACAAAGGTTGGGTGTGGTAATGAACCGTATGTTAACCCAAGTTTCAAATATAATGTGCGGAATAGGGGAAAATGTTCGTAGCTCAGGTATCGTAGATGGTCGTTGGCTTGTTCGCTAAGCTGGGCAATTTGATTGAAAACGTTTCATCACCAATCGAGGTGACATCATCAATGCGTTATTGGGGAGCATAGTGATGAGTAGCGGTGGGTTAGTGGTTGTGCGTTGAGTAGTGTTAAGTAGTGCGTTGAGTAGCGTGTTGAGTAGTGCGTTGAGTAGTGTGAGGGCGGAGACACACTGCAGCACCACAGAACTGCGGAAGAAGGAAGAAAACCATCTGTTCAGAGTATTCCAGAACAATGGATGTCGGAGGAATTTTATCAAGAGAAGCTTGAAGAAGAAGACATCTCAACAAGCCACCAGACGAGTAATCCTGCCTTATATCAAGAATGCATCAGAACCAGATTATTGGCTCAAAAAGGAATCTTCGTGGCCCACAAACCGAATGCCACCCTGAGGAACACAACACGGCCATCAGGAGACATGACCCCCTGTCCTTGATACCCATATATGAGGACCAAGAAGGCCAAAAATTCAATTGGGAAAAAGCAAAAAATTTTGGCATACGGAGACACGAGACACGGAAGAGAATTTCCGGAAGCATGGTACTCCACGGCAGATTCGATCAACGGGTGCATCGAACTAAATCCAATTTACGCACCTCTACGTGCAAAAGACCAACATCTCAACCAGAACACTCAAGGATTCACAAACAAAGAGACAAGGCACTCCTTGGAGGCAACTTAATAAAAGTCACAAGCCGGGAGTCGAAAGGACAAAGGTCACTCCAGCGTAGACCAGATTACGACGACAGGGTTGCCAAGCTCAAAGGTCACGTGGGCATCGGCGAATGGGGATACAGGACAACGGAGCAACCAATGGAACTGCCCGACCGAACAACTAATCTCGATCAAAGGTCATCCCCTGCTAGCAGCACCTATATTAACACGCGCAACACCACTCAACGCACAACTACTAACTCACCGCTACGCACCATTACGCTCTCCAATAACACACTGATGATGTCACCTCGATTGGTGATGAAACGTTTTCAATCAAATTGCCCAGCTCAGCGAACAAGCCAACGACCATATTGTGCGGAATTTTTAGCTGCGGCACAGGTTTTCTTATTTCTCCATCAAATCATCTGTAGCAGTTGTTTGCTGTTCAAATCCGGGAAATGGAAACATGTTTAGAAAACTTGGAACCCTCTTGAGATGGAGATGTTGGCAGTCTGTACATTCGATATGCTTTATTCAAAGTTCCACAGTATTTTTTAAGTTCATTAATATTATTTTCATCCCACTCACGGTACGGAATGACCTGCACAAAAGTGTCATTATGCTCTATCAAAAAACGGCCCATGGCGTGCACATTCTCCGTGAAAGTGGCCAAGAGTTCGTTAAACAGACTCTGTGGATTGAAGCGTTGAAAGGTATTAGCAACATCAGAGGGGCCCACCGGGGCTTTACTGCCACACATGTCAGTTTGTTTCGAATCCGTCATCGTGCGTAGACTGGGATACCGCACTGGCACTCACACTAAGACAGGGAGACAGTTAGGGGTCGGCACACATGCTCCAGCCCCCAAACTGGATGACCAGTTGTCAATGTCGCACGTGCACAAAGGTGCACACCACGGTAAGTAGAAGCCTCTTCCGGACGGACCTCTCCTCATCGGATGTTCACTGACCCCCCGGATAGCCGGAAAGTTTCAGACAAGACCCTCACCATTCTATTGTAGGAATCCCCGAGCATTCTTTCTTTTGGTGTGCACTAATATTTCTAGACCTCCGTGGAATTAGCCCCTGAAGCTGACCTCATTTTCTGCCTCACTTAGTACACTTAGTACAAACACAAACCGAGCTTTCTAGTTAGTCCAAATCGTGTGGCTACTCGCTAGTGAACATCCGTCTTCAATTTGCAATTCCCTGTCTGGCTTTTTCAGTTTGAAGTCTCTCTCTCTCTGGTTTTATCTTTGTTAGCCGGGCATTGTTGAGCCTATCGATCAGTTTTTCCCGTCTGACCATTCAGTTCTGGTAATCGAGTCGCAAAGATGCCCTACCGGGTTACACAACCTTTGTAGTCTATCCGCATCAAGATTTAGACGCGTTTCTGGGTCATCCGCACTGGTTCTGATCACGCTCAGCCAAGTCTCGAACCCGCGACCTCCTGGCTGGTAGTTTGAACACTTAACCATTCGGCCACGGGTGGCTGATCGGCAGTGTGATTAACACGCACTTGAGCAGGATATAACGCCACTCATCCTTCAATCACGAGACCCATATCACGTGGTTACACGTGTTGATTGGCTCCTCGACCAACGACTTCTCAGATGGAAGTTTCACTCATCAGTTGAAGTTTATTCTTCCACTGAGCTACTTATAGATTGTTAAGTGTTCAAACTAATAGCAAGGAGGTCGCGGGTTTGAGATTCTTCGGAGTTCCGTGAGATGTGCACTGCCGACGATTCCCAATAAGGATGAAACAGCTGTACAGTGCTTATCGGCTTTCCTGCATAGAATGGCTTCACTCAAAGGACGAAATCTCCACAAAAACCCCAATCTCCTCAACCAACCAACCAACACGGCTCCGCCTCAGGCGTAAGGTTTATTAAGCTTAGTTTACTGGTTCAGATGTAAAAGGGGTGGATATGTTCCTCACCATTTGAGCCAACCGGATGAAACGATGTTGAACAAGTCAAGCAACTATGGCCATCCGTAGAAATTTCTGGCAAAAAGCGTCTTTATGTCTCCTCCCTGGTCATCTCCAGGAGAAATCAGTCATTAATCTTGCATTTGGTACGGTTATTACTTGCGTTACTTCATCATACTTGCCCATAATACCGCACGGAATATGACTCAGCCATAATAACGGTTTTTTTATTGACCGGCGGATAACTGTCTCTTGGCTCCCGATAACCACAAGTACATGTCCATATTGATTTCGTTTGGTCAGAGTATGATGTGTAGGAACTGGACTGATTATTGAAACTAAAACAAGGAAAATTGCTAGATCAATTTGGGAAAATTTGAAGGCATGAAAACAGTAATCATACGAATGCTATTCTATCCTTACCTCGAGAAACACAGCTAAGACACAGCTGACGCAATCTATATTAGCCGTTTTGGCCCAGACTGATGAAAACAGAATCAGCATATACGTGTAATATACTACTCACAAGGTTGCTGAGAACTCTTTGACAACCCACGACCGGCTCCGTTCTTCATGTAGCCCACCAGGTAGGTATGGTACCCGAGTTTTCGTCAACCTTATGTTCTACTTGGACCAAAATTGCACGAGACTTGGCCAATGCACTCATTTGCATACCAGTTTGGTTCTGACGGGAGATTCACCTGGAACCTGGACGAATCTCTCGTTTATGATGTTCCCCGTGAGTCACCCGTCAAAACCAAATTAATATGCATTTAATAATGTATGTAGAAGTAGCTCAATGAAGATTTGCCGTTAACTTAACCCAGTAAAGCTTCATTCAGTAGTGACATCACTGAATGCTTGGTCGTAAATCAGTAGTCCGTCACACGCCCTCAATATTTCTCCGGCTATAAGGTTGTATCTTGTGCGATCACGCGCCAATCAGGATTCTTCCGGTCTAGCACCTTTAACTGCTCGACTGATAATCCCCGAGTCTGCTTTGTTCAAAGCGGCCTGGAAGAACCTGAGTTCATCGTTCCTGAAATTTAACCTAAACATAGTATACATGAGCGGGTGCGACTAAAGAGCCATGCATTCTAAGCCCATCCAGTCAGTTATGTAGGGGAGTGCTGGTCACGAGAGTGGATGAACAAGAGGCTTCATTTAGTACTTTCAGCCTTTTTAAGTTGGTTTGGACGATTCTCATAGCATGAGTCAGAACGGCCCATATCGATTGAGACCGGTCTGTTTGATCAGCCTCCTCCTGATCGGATACGTCAGAGAGTACACTTGATGAGATACACGATAACCACAGTCGGAATAAAACTCAGTGATCAAGGCTCATCTCGCTCTTGGTGAAAAACAAACACGTGACCTTGTCACTTGACTGTCTGGCCACATCAGCAATAGCCGCTGTACAATTCACTCTTGTGAGTAAAATTCAAGCAGATGATGCACGTCACAAATAATGGTTTCACGGCAAACTCTCTCCGAATGCCACCAAAAATCATGTTTCTATTCGTCCGCATTCAGCCAACTGAGACAAGTCCAGAGAGAGTAGGACCATCGGGAAGTTGCATCAACACTAAGCTCAGGAAAGTTGTCACTAACTTGGCTTACACCAGCAAATCAGATCAGCTTGACTAAAAAGTCAAAACCGCCGGTTGGTTTAGAGTATCCATGAAAGGAGGTGGAAGCATCGGTTAAGAAAAAGTGCCAAAAAGCGACTTATTTCGGTCGTTTTTGTGGCCGGTCATGATAACTAATAAAGTCCAAAAGTGAAAGGTCGGATAACTTAACAGTGCGAAACCAGTTTGTTGTGGAGATCTCTGTGGTGTTAAAATGTCATCGAGTTTCTTTGGCTGGCGTCCTTGGGTTGTCAACCGAAGGAAAATATATCTGCCGATCAGTATTTGAAGGCCGTTCAAGAGTGGAGTTCACCCTGATTAGTTGTTGGCTATTCACGGGTTCGAACTTAGCCATATCCGTTTCCGTGTTTTGTCTTCATTGTCCACATCAGTATTGGTGCTACCGTTTCGAAATAACGGATGAGACTAACTCACTTTCTAACCCGTTTCAACAGGTGTTACCATTCTGCTTTCGCTCACCATGTTCCTTCAGCTGGTAGCTGACAAACTGCCTCAAACTTCCGAAGCAATACCACTCATTGGTGAGTTCCGTTCACTTCTGATTTCCCAATGTGTCAGAACTTTGAAATTGTGTCTATCCTATGCTTCCTCACTCACCCTCATTCATCCGGCCGACGTAGTCCGGAACTTGCAGTTTCGTACTTACTTACTTGGAACTATCAGCTTAGGAACCTCTGAGTAGTCCAGAACAATTGGCCTTCCACAGAATGTGGAATACTGTCCTCTTTGAGCAGCATACACATAGTCTTTTCAATGGTGCAGAGATTTCAGAGTTTCACTCACGATCTCATCATGCAGGTGGAGTGAATCTAATCAGGGAAAACGAGAAGCAATATACAGATTTGTTGCGTGATTAGTACTCAATACATCCTCGTGTGGTCACAGTTCAGAGGAAAAGCTTTGTAAGACAATGCTGGCTCGGATTAGATTGCTTACAGCGATAGGTACTTGTGGAATTGGTATCGATTGCTTTCACATTATCAGTAATCTATGATGGCTTAGGAACCTCTGAGTAGTCCGGAACAATTGACCTTCCACAGACTGTGGAATACTATCCTCTTTGAGCAGAGTGCATATAGCCTTCTCAATGATGTGAAGATCTCAGTTTTACTTAAGATCCCATCATGCAAGTGGAGTGAATCTAATCGGGGAAAACGAGAAGCAATATACAGATTTGTTGAGTGATTGGTACTCAATACATCCTCGTGTGGTCACTGCCCAGAGGAAAAGCTTTGTAGGACAATGCTGGTTCGGAGTAGATTGCTTACAACGATAGGTACTTGTGGAATTGGTATCGATTACGTTCACATTCCTCTCGCTTGAACGGTCTGTCTGTCCTGGCAAGTGTACACCATGGTGGGAAAGACCTTGACTCGGATTTAGCTCTTGTTAGACCGCATCAGCAGTGCATATCTGTGAATATGCCGGGGTTCGAACTCCGGGCATGTGACATGCGAGGGAGCGCACGCTGGACGCATCTGACTTGCCACGTCGGGTCGATCGATCGGCGAAACCAGGACAGTTACTAGATCGCCACGTCGGGTAAGTCAGTCACGTCGTTTAAGCGTGAACATATTTACCTTTTCAGACGCGATGATTCGGGTGTGTCTGGCGTGCGTTCGTGGATTAGATATCTGAGTCACGGCGTGTTGTTTCTTCCTGCGGTCGTGAGGTCATTCGAATGATTACTTCCGGACAGGGGGAGGACTGCTCAGATGTCAAATCTCCAGGGTAAATGGACACTTTTGAAATTCAAAAATCCCATTGATGTTCCCCCCTTATCTAGAGAGTTGAGCGAATCCAATCAAGTTTATCTTCTCGCCGAACTTTGTGAATCGACGGACATGTTAGGGTGCAGACTGAATGGTTATCTTATGAACGGATGTCATCCGCGAAAGCCTGTTTCATTTTCAACAATTTTCCCCCAGAATTACAACCCTGTCTCATTTCATTCCCCGGTTTTAGGTATTTACTTCTCGTGTACAATGGTTATGTGTTCTTTATCGATCGTTTTCACCGTTCTCGTGCTCAACTACCATCATCGATCAGCTGATGTCGTGGCTGTTCCCTCTTGGGTAAGTTGTCAGTGAACATTTTGACTGGGGGCGAGATGGCCCAAGTGGTTAAGAGCGCGAATTTACTGGCCGGAAGGTCCGTGGTTCGAATCCGACCTCTGCCTCTCGACTTCCCCTGTCTAGGCCTGGGCGACCTGGCAGTATCCCAGCCCTCGTGCATGGCAGCTAGGCACCGAAAGGGTGTTACAGCTGAACGATTACTATTATTATCCACGATATACTTAGTGTGTATTTGTTATGCCTCCACACATTGTAATAGTATCTGAACTCTTCGTCTCCTTGTCCAATCAATTAAATCCCTCAGCCTTTCGTCAACAAATCGATGACCATCGTCTCCTAGCTAATCTCATAGTCCCATCGTCTTGTTTGCTCTTCCGCAACGATAGCTGAATCCACGCTTGAATCCACGCTTGCGGGATATATCCATGTCATGTAACCAGATGGCGAGTAGTGAATGGCTAGCCCAGGCAAACTGATGTTTTTAAATGACGTCTTTGGTCAGATAAGAAGAACTAAGCTACCACACACATAACAAGCTACTCATAAGGTTGCTGAAAACTCTTCGAAAGTCCACCACCAGTTTTGCTCTTCCTGGGACTCATCCGATGTAGACAGTCCTCGAATTCCGTTAAACCTATGTCCTACTTGAACCCAAATAGCACGAAATTAGCGAACTATACTCATTTGGGTAGCAGTTTCGTTTTGACGGTAGACTCACCTGGAACGCAGCTAAATGCACTTTCTTATGGGTTAGCGTAACCCAATAGCCGCCAAGCTTTTGAGATTGTATCTGGACCAAACCAGTTGGATGGCTCGAATAATTCTCACTTTGAACGCTTTGATCGATTGTTCTTATCCACTAGGTATGGTAAAATCGAGCCTTTGTTAACGTGACAGATGTTCATCTATTTTCTGGGACAATCCGACCCCCCAAGTTGGGAGCACATCTGCAAGTGACAGGAGAGATTATACGCAAGAGCTTGTGGAACTCTACCTTATTCTTTAGGCTCATACGGTGCACACGATCACCAACAGAGTCAATTCTGAGCGGAGGCCCAGTGCTTTGTTCACCCCATGGTAGCACTCACAATGCCTTCGTGTTAAAACCACGTGTGAAAATGAGACCGAAGCTCGGCGTGTAAGGTGGGCATTTGCCTTTGGAAGGAATGTAAACTGCTATGTTCCCAAGACTGGTCTTAACCTCCGCACTCTGCACCAGGTAGCACGACCTAAACTCTCTTCAAATATCGGTATCCTGCAAACAAAGTTCATTCAAACAAACTCATCCCGAAGTAGAAGATGAATACTTCATAAAGACAACAGGGTCCTTTTACTTCCGAAACACATAATGAGTGGCTTAAATCTGAGGCGATATTGTCAGGGCGCGCCCAGACAGAAGAAACACACGACCACGTAGTGGGCTTGAGAATGTTCACGGCCGGAACACCACCATTGGCTGTACGGAGCGAACAAGTGAACGAGCATATTTGGCCAAGTAGTCATCCTATATAT